CTTTGAAAAAATTATCGCCGTAAAAATTACCGACTTTTGCATAGCCAATCAAGCTATTAGCCCTTTCCAGCATGGTTTTTATCAGATCGCTCTTGTGAAACATGTCATCTGTCGTTTCTCGATCTACTTACCTCTCTTCGTAATGATCATCTATCTGTTATCGTTATTTATTTTGATCTTAGTAAAGCCGTTGATAAAATACCACACCGAAGACTCTTGGTTAAATTGGAAGCTATGGGAATTCGCAGTCCACTGATAGACTTTCTCAGGTCATACTTGTCTAATCGTAAACAAAAGGTTTTGGTGGGATCTTCACTTTCCAGTGAAAGCCCTATTGTAATTGGTGTCCTACAAGGCACCGTTTTAGGTCCTCTTTTGTTATTGCTTTACATAAATGATATTTCGGCAGCAGTTAAATATTCTCAATCATTTATTTATGCCGATGATCTCAAATGTGTATATTCTTTTAAAAAATTTACGAGCCTTCATTGCCTGGAGCAAATCCATGCTGACTTGCTTGCTCTCTCAGCTTCGAGCTCAAAATGGCTAATGGAATTCTCTCCGTCTAACTGTCGCTATATGTGTTTTGGACCTGAGAAGCTACCTCAACCAGTGGTCATTCAAGGCACACCTATGACTGAATGTACCGCCATCAAGGATTTAGGTTTAAGCTACACTAGTAATCTTGATCTCTCGCCGCACGCTGACAGAATTACAGCCAAAGCTGCCCAGATTTGTGGCTTTATTTCTTACAATTTCTATCTTCCTGAAATTAAATTAAGGTTCTATCGTATGTTTGTACTTCCCATTCTCAAGTTTTGTTGCCCATTCTTTGGTTTGATGAATGAAGCTAGTCGTTTAAAAATTGAAAATGTCCAAAGACGTTTTTCAAAAAAACTTTTAGATAAGGAACATCCCAATATCTCCTACTCAGATAGATGTCAGCTAATTAACCTAAAAATTTTATGGGTTCGAAGACAAGAAGCAGGCTTCTGTCTCCTCTTTCGCATTAATCATAGTTCAAATTTTCCTCGGATTTCAGCACTCAGCCCTAGTAGTCGCCCATACAATCTACACAACTCGTCCTTGATTATACCTCCTCCAGCGTCCTCCACCTCTAAGCGCTCCCTTTTTTCGCTTCCAGATATACTTTCCTCTGGAATAACCTTCCAATAAATATAAGATCTTCAGAAAATCTACACACATTTAAGAGAAGGCTACGCCTTTAACTGAATACTTACTCGATTAAACTTTTAGTTTCCTCATCCGTCCCAGACAACTTTTTCTTTGACATTGAGAAAGGGCCACCGGGAATTTAGTATGGCACCATTAAATTTCCGTATCTGTTCACATTTCCTTCCTTCATGAGTAGTCTCGCTTCCTAAGATCCCTCACCAGAAATGTTAATTCTTCCAATTTTTCAGTTCATGCATCGTGCTCTTGCAGAATGCGCTCCATCGATGCTCTTGGCGAAACCTTCTGTATTCGCCACATACTAGTAGTCTGGTCGCATCTCCCTTGCCAATCCTCGGATGGCCTCGGATGAATGTAACCGACCGCATCTGGGTTCCTATCGCCTCGAGACTGGGTTTCATCGTGCCCTCACAGAATGCGCTCCATCGACGCTCTTGGTGAAGCCTTATGTATTCGCCATATACTAGTAGTATGGTCGCATCTCCCTTGCCCCATCCTCGGACGGACTCGGTTGAATGTAACTGACCGCATCTGGGTTCCTATCACCTCGAGACTGGTATTCAATTTCGCCACTTATTTGCCTTATTCAAGGCCACATACAGACCAGTCCTAACCGAGCCGCCTACTTACCCCTTCATGAAATCCGTTATACAATGCCATATACTGCTGTCATTTATTTCGGCCCTGTTGATATCCGACTGTAATTCATTCTATACCGCCTCAAGCAGGCCAGTCCTGCCTTCATTTTTCTGTTTCTATTTGTTCGAGGGTTTTTTTTCTCCTGTAAAATTAATCAAATCATTTTTAAATTTTTTGGAGTTTTTTTTTCACCCCTCGCTCACTGTTTTTCTTAACGGTCTTCTAATCTCAAAAACTATATCTTGCACTTGTAGAGATTTTGCCTACCTCGTCTAAAATTCGCATGTAAATTAATTTTTACTTGCTTTGATGGGGCCCCGACGGGTCTTTAATAACAATAATTTAATTTAATTTAAGATGAACCTGGGTCGTTTGGAGGGATGGTCAAACCGTTGGCTCCTGCGGTTCAACGCTGATAAGTGTAGCATACTTAGCCCAGGCAGCACAGCGAGATCCGAAAGTCCAAAAGACTACTTTTTGTGCGGTGTAGCCCTACAAGAGGTCAAACCCCAAAGGGACCTGGGTGTGCTGACGACGAGCTCCTTAAAGCCATCAACACATTGTTTGAGAGTGGCAAAAAGCGCAATCCCCACACTGTTCGCCATCAAGCGTGCGTTTATGGACTTTGACAAAGACGCTTTCTCAAAGTCATTCTGAACATTCGTCCGGCCGCATTTGGAGTACATCATACGAGCCTGGAGGCCGTGGGCGGTTGATGATCAAAACTGCCTCGAAAGCGTCTAGAGAATAGCCAAGATGATGGTTACGGGTCGAAGTTCCTTTCCTTATGCTATCCGCCTAGTAAATCTGAACCTCTTACCTTTTAGTTACAGGCAACTTCGCGGGGATCTCTTGCAAGTCTGCCGCATTGTAAAGGGGTTGGATTGCAATCTGGCCTTCGAGGACTTTTTAAATTTGCTACCACGACCAATGTCTGAGGTCACCCGTTATAACTGCGCAATCAGCAGGCAAGGCTGGATGTGCGGGAGTACTCCTTCCCTGTTCGAGTGGTCAAACCTTGGAATGCCGTTCCCTCAGATTTTGTGATGTCATCGTCTATACAAAGCTTGAAAAAGAATCTCGTCATGTTAATGTTCCGAAAAGACCAAGAGCGATGAGAAGTAGAGTTCACCACCTGTAACTCGTTCTCATTTTGTCCTACCATTATGGGCTTGTTGGAACCATTTTAGCACAGAACATTTATATTGTTTCGTCCAGGGACACCATGATTGAACCCAATATTCCAACATTGGTTGAACGAATGCTCCAAATACTCGGGCGAAAAGTTCTTCGTCAAAGTAGATGAAGGATTTTCTAATCGCGCCTAGGATGCCCATAACATTCTTAGATAACTTGGCGCAGTGTGACGATGGTTTGAGAGCTGATGTCATCCACATACCGAGGTCTCTTAATTCGTTGACTTAAGTTGGTGACCTCCTATCAAGTAGAGGGATTCAAATCTCATTCGCCTCCTGTTACGCGATCGTAATCGGACTAATTGACATTTGTCACGAGGGTTTAAGGGAACTCGTCGTCAGCGCACACACAAGTCCCTTTGGGGTTGGACCTCTTGTAGGGCTACACCGCACAAAAAGTAGTCTTTTGGGCTTTCGGATCTCGCTGTGTTGCCTGGGCTAAGTATGCTACACTTACTGGAGTTCAACACCAGTAGCCAACGGTTTGGCCATTCATCCAACCGACCCAGGTTTATCTGCAGTCTGCAGACCTCACGGTGATTGTTACGTCGGGGGTGGATATGGTGTCTTAAAGAGGTGAGTGAGTTAAATATGTGATTATATAAGGGTTTAAACAGTAAAATTAGTCCCTTTTGTAATCTACGGATCCATAAAGAATCAAGGCCTGTAAGACGGCAACGTTCTTGGTTAGACAAATGTCGGTGTTCCGGGGTTAAAATTCTTGAACAACTCCCAGTCATCATGGACATTACCCATATACGATGAGCTTCAGTCGAGCCCGGATAAGTCTGCCCTCATCTCATTAAAGTCACCCCACCAAAAATGGCGTCTTTTTTGATCTGGAATTTGCGAAATGGCGAATAACGTATAGTCCCACATAAGCACTTCATGGTCACTTCGGCCAAGGGGCGCCTTGGAGATGGCCATGTTTATGCTCTCTGGTGTTTCCGTAAAAACTAGTTCCAGGCAGTTTGCCCTTTGTCCTTCACGTGTTCTCGTTGGGAACATTACATGTTGTGTGGGGGACGCGTTTAATGTTTTGTTCAGCAGACGGTAATCGAATGCAGATTTTGGACCAGACGCTTGGAGCGTGTTCCACTTTATTCCTGGTGTGTTGAAGTCACCCATGATGATGATGTTAGATCGACTAGTAAATTTCTCCAACTGTTTTAATAATTGAGTGTCGGCGATTAGGTCAGTTCTAGGTGGTCTGCAGACAGTGAGGACATCGATGCACGGTCAAGCAAATAGCTTCCGTGCTGCACGCACAGTTGGTGGTGTTTTCCGACACTGCAAGGTCTTCATTTAAATACACAACTATACCACCACTCTGCGGATGATCCCTGTCCCTCCGATAAATTTGGTATCCAGGCAAGGCTACTTCGCAATCGCTAATATTCCCCGACAGCCAGGTCTCGGTTACTGTTAAAACATCCGGAGACAGCACGGCAAGGCAAAGTTTTGGTAGTCTTATTTGAATGCGAGGATTTGGACATTTGCGTAAAAGCACCTTACTTTTGCGCCAGCCGAATTTCCGGTTTTCGTATTTAATCCACGTTCCTACTTTGTACGCAGCACCAATTTGTACGTTACAATTGAGTTATTCGATGGCTAAAATTTGTTTCCCTCAATAAACTGAAGTAAATCTAAAAATGTCGCCCTTTTCCTCTACTGTCTTCTTCGCCTTTCGATTACTTTCTGTTTTTTTATTTTTTGAGATAAGAACTCTTCTCTCTTTGTTCGTTATTTTTTCATTTATATTAAGAATCGTCTTCACAGCTCTCTAGTTCTTTGTTTAGAATTCCTTAACGTTCCATGCATTTTGGATCTTCGAAGACCCCGACTTGTAAATAAATCTGCCCTGTTCTTTCGATTAATTGACTTTCATAAACTGATCAACCGAGATACCACCCAATCAGCACGTAAGTAATTTGCTGTTATTCCTGGTTGTCGCGGCTTTTTTTCATCAGCATGTCAGGCGGCAGGCCTATAACTATCAGGGATAATGCCGTGAGTAATTGCCCTTGTACGTTATTTACTCATAGACATATAACGCGGCACAAAGGTGTGGAGCCGAGATCGATACCCAAAAGAAGTATGCTGCTGGCTCCAACCGCCAGCACGTGGCCGCTGTGAGTTCGGCAAAACTTGAGGAGGAAAGCGAAGACTTCCACATCGAAACAGTTCACCGGGATGTTGGTCAGCTGATTGCGATGGCAAGACAAAATTGCAATCTTACTCAGAAAGACTTGGCCACCAAAATTAACGAAAAACCCCAAGTACCTCCTTTAGACACTGAATATCTTTCAGGTCATCGCTGAATATGAACAAGGGAAGGCGATCCCCAACCAAGCAATACTAGGGAAGCTGGAAAGAGCTTTGGGTATAAAACTGAGAGGAAAAGATAAAGGAGCTCCTTTTGCAAAAGGATCGAAAAAGTGATCAGCAGCCATCCATCCAATACCTTCGCCAACTTGCTTGCGCCTTCGGTTTTTACATTTAGCTTTGAAGAAGGCAATTGTGCATGCAAATTTGACCTTATGACTGCACAATGTTACCGTGTTCTCATGCAGTATGCATCTTGGATTGATGTTCTTGCCTTTTGGCCATCAAAGTGCGTGGTTATATCCCGTATTGACTTTGTCTAACTCCCGATACATCGCCTTTTACCCGAATACGTTTTCTGCTCATTGTTGGGTTCATATTTGTGGAGCGGTTCTGCTATTTAGTGACCACATTCGACGTACAGCGTGTTTCGCTGAGTAGTTCTGGTTTATTGTACGTGTCCCATGGTCGAAATATAGCTTAAACCATGTCTCCAAGATTCACATGACCTATGCAATCCTCCGTCACTTTCGACACCGGTCCTACGTTCCCTCGGTCGCAAGTGAATGCAGAGCTTTCCCATTTGTTAGTGTTATTGGGTATACGAGAAATCCACCTGTTACCTGCCAGAGACGTCCAGAAATCTACTGACCGTCACTTATACCTGCCGAAAAATACTTCAACGCAGATTTTAGGCGGTAAGTTAGAGTGCTATAATCTTAGTGTAGGGTTGTATCGTCTTTTCTGAAAACCTCGGTCTTTTAATTGAGTTATACAGCCTCAAATATCCCGTCTTTCTACAGGGCCACCTGTAACTCAACTGGCCCTGAGTTCCTGTTATTCCTCGGTTTGGCAGTCCTGAAAACTTCTCCTAAAGTTCCATTGGCAGTTCAGTTATCTGACCCCGAGGCAACGGGCTGCTCGAGTTCAGGCTGCCATGCCCATGTCAATAAGGCTGGCGAAATAAATCCCTGAAGGTGCTATCAGTCTTGAATCTTTTCTTCGCTAAATGGGACTGCCAAATGAACTATTGCGACTTTGACATTCTAATTGGCCGGCGTTAAACAGGCGACACTCGTCGCGCGTAGGAATACATGGTGTTTGTCGGTTTCAGTTTCTACGACTTACCGTTCGCTGGATCTTCGGTAGACCAGCGCTACGCCTACTCCTCATAATCGCGAGTTGTGTTATTTCGATCAGCCACGATGGGGGCCGGGCGGTTTTGCAATTTTAATTTATAACTGGAGAAGTTCCCATGGTAGCCGTTTAGATTTTTTCTACACCCTCCTTCTGCAAAGATGTTGTCACTGACGCCGTAAGGTACCTAGTCGACGGGCTGAAGTCAGTGACCGTTAAAACGTATACTGGGAGGAGAGGCCGGTCTGAAAAAGTCGTATTCATTTTAAGCAGTCAGGCTTCGTCGTGCAAGCGGGACGTATTGGCGCCTGCTTGTTGCGCAACAGTCTATCGAAACCAGATGGGATTTCCGGGAAGCGCTAACAATGCACTTCCTCGGCCCTCGAGTCTGTTGTCAATTGTTCAAAAATAAAGCGCCCAGAATGCTAGCTCGGATCGGTCATTGATTTTCGTGTAAATTCAGTACCACTGGCTATGTTGCCCGGGCATATAATCTTATCGGCTATTGCTCTAGTGGATCGACAATTTTACTGGCTTGTGACGACTGGTTGCGTTCGCGAGTTAACATTCTATTTTACAGTCGCAATATTGATTAACGTGCGGCATAACCCTATAGTATTTCGGACTCGCAAGGATGTCGGCTTTTTAATAAACTTATTTTTGATCTCCTGCGAAAATCTCACTCGGCAAAAAGTGGTTACTTAGGTAGCATGCATTTTTTACGTTTATTTTCGATGGCATTTTACACTCAAATCTGTTTTGTAGTAAACATGCACAGAAGTATGCTTTCTTTAGCAAATCATGTCGTCGCATTTTATACTCGAAGTGCCTTGAAGTTTTAAAAAAAGTTCCTGTAAGATTCTTTAAGATCATGCAATGTCTATTCATACAAAATCGCACTTGTCCGTTTATTAATGTTCACAAATTGTACAACACAGTCTGCATCCACTGCAAAGTTTTTTGAACTCTACATCGCATATTCTGAAAGGCATAGAATATATGATTTTTCTTACGCGGAAGTATATGCCCTGTAGACTGGAGTCGCTAGACGCTAATGCAAGGGCTGATCTGGCTCAAAATTAATCGGGAATCGGAAAACCTCCCCAAAACGTAAATACACCCTTTCTTCGAGTGCAAAATGTAAAGAAGACATGACTTTCTACCGATTGAGTTAAGAGGAGCATATTTTGTGTAATTCTTCTATGGAGTATGTTTTGATTTATAAGGCCATGCAAAATCAGTGTGAAAAATGCATAATACCCAAGTAGTCATTTGTTCGCCGAGGTTCTTACAGGAGATCGAAAAGACGTACATTCAAAAGTCAACATTCTGCCGGGTCCGAAATATCATGGGCTTATGCTACGTGATAATACTACACCCCTACCTAAGTAATTATTCCAGCAACCGCAGAGGTCAAATATGGGATTCGCAGGAGGAAGTCGATGAGCTTCAGCGTAGAGCTGCGCTCCGGCCACGTAAATATGGTTTGGGCATCCGTCGGAAAAATCAAGCCTGGACAGCTTAAAAATGGGCGTAAATTACACCACACTTCCCCTAGGCTTCTATGTATGCAGACTTCTGTGTCGTGGGTTGCCGCTTGTACTGTGGCAGCCGACGTCTTCAGACCTTCCAGTCGACCGCCTGGCAATTGTCAAATCCACGAGGGTGAAACAGGTACTCATCGTGTTCTCCGGCATAAAACTCCTCTTGCACTGATGATGCACAGCCTATTCACGTGGACGTCGTGGCGCCTGTCTGATCGGCGTCAGCGGCTTCAGGCGCTAAATTGAGCCAGATAGAATCTGGGCCGAGAACTTTGGAAACTACCCGCGACTGGCAGGGTGCGTTTATTCGTAGACTGGCTTTCGAGATAGTTAGGTCTACTATCCATTATTGGAGTTCGAGAGTGCACAGAATATCGCAGTTACAGGGAAGTGTTCGGCCATTCTTCCTCTTATGCGATCTTATAGGGCGATGCTTGTACTGTTGTCGACGGGATTGGGCCAGATGTGTACCTGTTTCTGGTCCGGTGATGTTGACCTGACTGCGATGCCTTTTGGTTGCAATGAACTTTTATAGATTCAATTGCCCAGGTCATCAACGGCATAGTGACATCAGCTGTTACCTACCTGTGGGTCATATGGGGATTTTGGCCGGCGTTTGCGGACGGCCAAGTGTCCGGGCCGTCGTGTCCAATTCTCTTGATCCAACAGTGGTGGAGGACATTTGGACACCCTAGTCCCCTGCCAGTATTTCTCCTTCGGCTGCAGCACGACTCGGGATCGACGCCTATGACCGATTCAGCTGTGTCCGTGCCAACAAGGCGAAACAAATCTCCCTTGTCCATATTCGAGAACTCGACCGTTGCGTGTGGCAACGTCCACCGTGTGCCCTACGTAGTGGGTGCAGCACTGGCGGATTTCCGATGCAACTTGTGCACTCTCTTCCCTCGTCCATCGGACTCCGATGGCAAAACAATGTCAAGGCAACCGCAGGTGGGCTCGCCTGGTAGATCTAGATCACCCGTCTGCGCATCCCGACACAACCTGGTCCCTTTTCCGCAGAGGGGCGGCTCGGATCCCATATGCGTGAGAGTGCCATGAGGGCCACATTAAGAAGGGGTCCTTGCAGCCTGACTCTCCATCCTCGAAGGAGGAGTGAGCTCTCCCGTCAGTTGGCGGCCCTTCAAGTCACGACTTTTTGTGCGTCGTGGTAGATTCAAGCAAATCAGATGGTTTATAGTGAGAATATGCGCCGAGTGTCGTGGGGAACGGAGTCTGATTCACCCTCTTCCTTCCTCCCAAGTCGGTCAGCCGTCCATTGGGGAGATTGGGCACAGCAGGCTGGCGCGGCGAGAACCTGCGCCTAGGCGTGTCACCAAACCCCATAAGTGACATTTGTTATGGGATGCGTGGGCTCTGCACTGCCAGGTTAACGCGTGTCGTACCCTAATGTGGTCCCAATGTTTGTCCAACGCATCTGCCGCTTGGTCCATGGTAGGGGCCGAAGACACGCATTCATAAAACTGACTGAGAGGACACGCACACATCCTGTCTGATGGAACACCCAGTCGTCTTAGCATTCTGCGCTTCTGTGTCACTGTCCAGATGTTACAGCGTCTAACTGGATAGCCTTTGGAGATGGGATACGTTGAAAGCCCGTTACAAGTTCATAGTGGTTTCGATGTTAATAAAGTCAAGGTCATTCGCTTGTCCTTCGGTCGTCTTTCGTTTTGGAAGTTTGTTTTGCCTTAGCCTGTAGCCATTCATCTACCTGTCGAATTTACCCCCATAGGAGAACGCGGCGTTACCTGGTTAGGAAAGCATCAGAGAGACCACTATGATTGGGCATCTGTTAGTGTAGTTTTTTATAGTCTTCCTGTTCCAAATACCGTCAAGTTTACACGTTTATCTTCAAGGATGACAAAAGTCATGAAATGTGTCACGTTTTGGGACCTTTCCATCCGTTTTCACGTTTATTATTTGTGAACGCCCATCAGGTTTGCAAAGCAAAGCGTGGTATGGTGCACGCCTTCACGGAAACGGTCCCAAGAGGTCGTTGCTTGAGCGACTACTAACATCCAATTAGTAGCGCATGCTAGACCATGATTAGTTTTCGTCGAAGGACGTTTTTCGACGTCTCTTGGTCTCCGAAACCCCGAAGAACGCTGAAGACCCTAACCCATAGGAGGGATCCTAAGTCGCACAACGTCTGAGTTACTTTGCCATCTAAGCAGCGAATAAACAGGGCCACAGATGCTCTCGAAACCACACCCTCCCCCACCCATTTCTCGTTCCCACTGCTCACTGTCGAAGTCAGCCGAATTTTAACTACTGCTCTGAACTCAAGGCAGCTCTTAATCTTTAGTCACTAAGTTCGGTAGAGACAAAATTCAGGCACTTAGAAGTGCTAAGTGAAAACATCCTCTAGCGCCTTGTCATTAGAGGGGGGTCAACGTTTTAATTTGTTTTAGGAAGTGCACATGCTCCTGTGATGGGAGGTGCGTGTGTGTACTTTCTTTACAAAATTGTGTCTCCATGGTGCAATGGTGGTGGGTATACCACAACACCCGCATGCGTCTGATTTAACAGCAAAAGGTGGGGATTTTTTTTCAGTACACGTTGGTTGAGCTCTTTTGAAAAAGTAGGTTCTCATTGGTAACTAAAAATATATGCTTACTCCTGGGCCCCGAGAAATGTTTTTTTTAACCACTGAAACGACACCAACTTTAGAACGCCGATCGATTTTCGCACACGACACCGCACATTCAGCCCGTTGTTTCGGCACGGCGTGTTTACTGTAAAACAGCCCATACAAGGTAGCGCCATTAAAAGTCCAAGCCTTCATCTGCTAATTCATCATTTTCCTATGACACTGATGTAACAAGATAATGCTTCTTCCAGTTCTGTACAAGTGCACGAAATGCGCTTCACTTCAGCAGAGATGGACGAGAAAGACGAAAACTGACCCGCAAATGCGAAGGTTTCTGACTTTCCATAATCAACTAGCAGTGCCCATAAGCGAGCAAAAGATCCGAACTTGAACCGGACTTGTTGATGAGCTGACATATTTGTCGACGTCTTCACTGTCTCGGGCTCTGTTAAATACAACCGGAAATATATATAATTATACAGAAATAATTTCGTTCGAGTGGAAGAGAATATGCGCATCCCAGGTTCTTGTTCCAAAGAAGACGAAGGCATGATCACTCGGACGATAGATTTATTGGCCGTAGCTTTCAAACTCGAACTGGAGTTCATCATCAGAGACTGCTGGAGTGCAGCAACGTGTGAACATTTACATCGTTCCGTGCGGGGGGGGACTACGTCCGTGGCTAGGTCTGGTTTGTGCCGCCTGGTCCACGATGTTCCCTCGTGATGACGCCGTTTGAACTTCGCGACGATTTGAGCTGCGCCACCTGGCTGCGTGGGCGGAGCGCGTGATAACACGCAGGCAAATCGATGTGCCTGTTGATAGAGTTGGTGTCCGATGCCCACGCCTCCAACAGTTGTCGCCCCGTCTTGTTGTTGGCTTGCGCCAATATCCGCGTGTTGGCGAAGTCGAACTCATGGTCTTCCTCCAGCGTGTGAGTGGCGAATTGAGATGGTAGGTTGCCTCCTCGAACGACCCGTTTGTGTTCAAGTATTCGTGAGCTGAGTCGTCATCCTGTTTGGCCTATGTAGTAGCAAGGGCAGTTGCGACATGGGATTTGATAGACTATGCCCGACTGTTAACCTGCGTCCAGCCGATCCGTCATTTTCATTATCCTGCTACGCATGGTAGCCGCCGGATGATGAGCGATGCCCACGCCTAACTCTGACGCAATGCGTTCTGTGGCCTCGGACGCATTCTTTATGTACGGTAGGGAGTTCCAAATGGTTGGTGGCTCTCTTCCGTTTGTCCGTCGTGGGTGCGTGCGTATGCAGCGAGAGATGAAATTATTAGGGTAGTCGTTCTTTGTCAATTTTTCCCGGAGGTGCCGTAGTTCTTGCATCCTTTCTTCGGGCTCGCTACAGTGCGTTTTTACCCGGTCGAAAAGCGCCCTCACACAGTCCCGTTTGTGCAGCAAGTACCGAACTGTCATAGAAGAAAGAAGGGCGGAGTGTGCGGCATTGCTCAGCGAATCAGTTACTGAGTGTCTGGTCCGAACAATATCCACCCCGGCAAAAGCGAGACAGGAAGTGAAACGCATGAATCTAGACCAACATTCGTCAAACTAAAACCTGAAATCAATACCAACGAAAATGTGGTACACAACTTATCGTCGAAGCAGTTAAACGAAACGCAACTCAGAGTGCTGAGCCACAAAGACAATTTTTACACTGCTGATGCCACCCCAGCCGACTTCATTGCCGCACTTGAGGCCATGTTAGTACGAACTAACGCAACGCGTCTGTTGATAGAGTTGGTTTCAGGTACCCAGGCCTCCAACAGTTCTCGTCCCGTCCTATTGCTGACCCGCGCTACTATCCGCGTGCCCGCGAAGTTGACTTTGTGGCCTTCATCCAGGCTGTGATTGGTGACCTGAGACAACGGGTCGCCTCGCCGGACCGCCCGTTTATGCTCCGTTATTCGTGAGGATAGTCGTCGTCCGGTCTGTCCTGTGTAGTGGCGAGGGCATTCTCGACATGGGATCTGATAAACGACACCCGATTGTTCTCCCACGTCTAGTCGATCCTTCACTCGCATGATTTTGTTGCGCGTGGTCACTGTTCATGCCTCCGTCCAAGTGCGTCCGTTTTCTATGATTTGGAAAAGTGTTGGTTCACAAACGCCAGTTCATGAGTAAGGTGCTTTATTATACAACAGATGGCAGTTCGACTGTCGGTTTTGACAAGTTCCACTGTTGCTCCAAATCAGGGTGACAGCATGGACGGTGACCGGCGTGTAAATTAATCTATACTGAGAGGAAGCTTGCACAGCATCTACAGCCCCCGATTATCCTCCTCCGACACCTTGGTTGGCTGCCAAGACAGAGTCAAGAAGATCGGAGGCGGGGGAGCGCAGGTGGATGGCGCGGTCGAGCCTGTACCTTGGCGTTCCATTCCACACCACCTTGTCTGAATCCATAAATTTTATTGACGCGTAAAGAAAATGAATAGACAATCTCTGGGACAGTAGGTGTATTAGTCTGAGCTTTCGGTCTCGTATTGGAGGCCATCGTCAGCGACTGTGCGAATGCGGCGTCAAATGAGCAGTTTTTGTAGTCAAGCCATGAAGGGGGGGATATGAGTGCAGAGGGTGGTATTCGCGAGAAGCTGAGTCCCACACCGTCTCTCGCCTCTTGGCCGCGGGAAGGGGGCGCGTGATAGCAGGGGGTATGTCAACGTGTCTGTTGGTCCTGCAGCCCCACTTGGTTCATACGATATAGTTAGGGAAAGAGAAAGCGCAAGCAGAGCTGGAAACACGCGCAGGGAAGCGCGTGCGAGCCAATGCTTGATGTGATCGAAGGTGGCATGTACGTACTCGCCCCGCGACACAGCCCTCTCTGGATAAAGAGGATGAGGAGGGCGCAATCGCAACTGGAAGCCCACAGGGGAACCACGAGTTAATTTGCAGTGTATGACCACTGTAGTAGAACCGACGGGGTTCCACACCGTCCGAACAATGACATTAGCAGGCCTACTTACTGGATCTGGATAATAAAGAGGACGAAAGCAGTGCTAGAAGCACGCGCAGGGAAGTACGTGTGAACTGATAACTGATGTTACCGAGGTTGACGTATAAGGGCTCCCCACCCCGATGCACAGTCAATCGCTGCGTTAAAAGAGCAAAGAAGGCGCAAACACGTGGCATATTTGAAGTCGGCGTAACTGCATTTACTAAAGTTGTTTAGGAAGCTAACCATATTTTATCCATCAATTGGGAGAGAAGAACCAAATCTCGTTTATAAGTGACTTCCCTTCGGCAATGTGTGCCTCTAGCGCCACCATAAGCATCTGCCAATCAACGGTGGTCGTACGAAAGGCCAGATTGGACACATTCTAACAGGTCACGATTCCGCAGCTAGGTTTATGATAATAGATCAATGCTTGAGGTTGAGACTGGCAACGCTCGTAAGACGACCTGCACTCGTATACATTCGCGCCTGGAAGCCCGCCTCTACCTTGCTCCCGAAACGTCTACTGAATGAAGGCGAAATTTTGCGGTCGCCACCAGAGAACTCGAACATCAACGCCACCGACGATATGCATTCTCTTCCATACATCAAGGGTGTTTCAGAAGCGACCGAGCGCATTGCTGCGGAGCTAGGTGTTGGAATTGTACACCTCCCCAAAGCCACCATACGCAGCAGGGTCATGAAAATCAAAGACCGGTTAAAACCTGAAGGGCAATCTGGAGTAGTGTATCGCATTCCGTGTCAAAATGGTCCTTGTAACTACATAGGACAGACTGGACGCATGCTCGGATGGCGCACACACGAACATAAGCTGGCTGTACGGCGAGGCGACGCACTATCACAAGTGGCCGCCCACACCTACCAAATGGGTCACGAATTTGACTTCGCAGCCACCAAAATAGTCGCCCACGCCGGAAACAAGACAGGCCGAGAATTGATTGAAGCCTGGGCCTCGGATGAGAACTCGGCCAATCGATTTATCGATCTGGCGTCGGCGTACAGAACCCTGCGTAGTCAACTCTAGTCGTGCGACTTCGGTCGATGATTGGGCCTACGTGCCTTATAACTGCCGCTTGTCCTGTTTCTGCCACTACCTCTGACGATGGACTTCTGCACTAGTCTGAAAGCTCAGGATAATAAGCACAGTGTTCCGGTGCTCGACTCTTCCTCTTCTTCACGTCTACTGAAAGCTGCTTTGATGCTGTGAGGTCATGATAACCGAACTGAGTCGCGGCTGGAATTTCGCTCTGCATCCCACTCTGGATTTGAAGGCAGTAGCAAATAGGTCATAACTGCGGTCCTCAGTCTACGACAGACGGCTGTGAACATTCTTGGGTCCACACGGCGTCCCTGAAATAATTTGATCATCTCATGGACCATACAGTTACCTGCCCAGCCAGCCTGAGGCAGACATAACAATGGTAGTTCCGCCCACACGGGCTGCTCACAAACTTGCTGGACTGAAGTGGTATCATTTACAAGTCAGATAATACTTAACTGTTTGTCAAGTCTGCGTTAGTTTCTCTACCCTGACCAACTCTTTTCTCGACTGGACATCGGCTTTAGTGCTGAAAAGTCAGTCAAGGTTGAGCGCTAGTGTGAGTGTCTTTCTTCTCTGCAACGCAGTTTAATTCCTTTCCAGACTAATCAGCGTCATGTGCCTCTGATTTCCGGGGAGAAACCGCCGAGACTGCACAACTACAAAGCACCGAGGGAAGATGGTGCCAACGTTGAAGTCTGTAGGTCTTGCGCCGGCACTTTTTCGTTCTCGCTCAATGAGACGACTGAGCAAGTGTGGAGGGGGGGCTACATCTTCCCTTGTGTCTAGAGTCCTAAAATCCTTGAGCAAGTCTTTAAGAATGGACTTGGGATGAAGTGTGAGAACTGTCGCGGTTTATATCTCACCGATACTGCTGAGAAGGTCATCGTTGTCTTTTTCAGGTGGCTGCAGGATTCCAGACCGAGACATATTCTTGCACGTCTCCGAGCTGGGCGTGGGTGCGTCCACCACATATGCACATTGTGGCCAGCTCTTGAATTCCATCATGTTCACCAGCAACCGACAATATTCTGTCTCGTTTACGTCGTCGTCGTTGTCGTCTTCGTCGTCGTCGTCGTCGTCGTCGTCGTCGTCGTCGTCGTCGTCGTCGTCGTCGTCGTCGTCGTCGTCGTCGTCGTCGTCGTCGTCGTCGTCGCAGTGTTCGATTCTGTTCATCGTGAGCTCCAGTAACTGACAGTGTGACTAGACGGTATGCCGACAAAAGTCATCGCCATAATCAGGGCCTGCTTTCGCTCCACAACGAAGGAGTTCTGATCCTCAGCAATCTCCCCCAGCCACTCGACATTCTGCTTCGCGTGAGGTACGTTTGTTTCCTGACATCGGTACTGCTGACTGTGCTATCAAAAGGGTCCCGTGTGGTTTTGATGTGGTCGAATTTGCGCCAGCACACCAGCTGGCCGACCTCGAGTATGTTGATGGCATCGTCTAGCTACCCGAAGACCATCCATTGAATTACAGTAGGTAAGCTAAAGCGTGAAATGTCAACCGAAATTCCGAAATGCGTTTTCGTTTCGAAAAGATTAATTAAGTAGGGCTGTAAAACTAGTCAGCCTGCAACATACTTCTATAGTACTTCGTGACCTCAGAATGCCGGCTTTCGAATGAACTTCCTTCCGGCTGCATGCAAAAAATACACTCTGCAAAAATTACTACTTAATTAGCATGCATTTTTCTTATTGATTTTCAATGCCATGAAAAGTCCAACTATATTTCATGGAAAACATGCATAAAAATACTCATTCTTTTGCTCATTCGGTAGATAATTACGTCTTCTTCTTACTTTATACTCGAAGGAGGTACATAATTCGGTTGTAAAAGTTTCTAATTGTGGAACTTTTAAATACCGTGAAATGGCCGTGCATAAATCGTCATATCTCTGCATTTATCAATGCGGCTTGTAAAGTTAACAATATGGATCAAATCCACTGCTTAATTTTATGAACCCTATGCGGTCCCCCTTTATTACCGTAGAGAATTGTGCGGTTTCCCGTACGCGGAAAATATACGGCTTGTAGTTTGGAAACCCTGAATCCAAGTGTGACGGTAGGGCGAGTTCAAAATTGTTCAGATTCAAAAACTTTTTTAAAACCGAATTATGTCCCTCCCTCGAGTATAAAATTAGAAGTAGACGTAATTATCTACCGAATGAGCAAAAGATTGAATATTTCCTTATGCATGTTTTCCATGAAATATAACTGGACTTTATGGGGCATCGAAAATCAATGAGAAAAATGTACGCTACAGATGTAGTCATTATTTACAGAGTGTAGGTTTTGCATGCAACCAGAAGGAAGTTCACTCGAAAGCCGACATCCTCAGGTCACTGAATTATTGTAGAATTATGCTGCATGATGATTAATTTTACAACCCTACCTAATTAATCTTTTCGAAACGAAAACGCACTCCGGAATTTCGGTTGACATTTCATGAGTTAGCCCACCTACTGTAAGTACATCGACACCAGGATATTTCAGGCCATCCATTAAAGCAGACCGGGTGGTTTAGTTCCGTTGATCATTATCAACCCCATGAGTCTAATGCTGCTGTCCTTTACGCGGTGCCGCTGACTACCTGGAGGAGATTAAAAGATCAACTCAAAACCTGGCTCGACGCGGTTCGTCAGCGCATGGCACTTGTTCTCCGACCTTTGTGCCAGTCAAGGATGCGAGATCAACTTAAACCACACACGCACAATAATTGCGCCCCGTCTAATGTCAGAAGTCTGGGAACTATGAGAATCCTTATATTTGGTACACAGGGCGGGTTGCCGTAAGCTGGCTGTTTGCTTGCGTCAGGGCTAAGCGTCCGTTCGGAAGCGCGTCAGTAGCGGTTTGTTGTTTACGCGGTAGTGCATGTCTGTGCCAGCAGGAGGGGATGACTGACTGAGTGTTGGTCATGTGATTGAAGGAATCAGGGGAGGAATAGGGGGCGTACACTCACAAGGGCTCAGGGGTATCAAGCCAGGGCGTCCGGCGCGCGTGAGGTGATGAAAGTTTGTGAGGGCAGCCGGCAGACACTGCGGATGGACAGGAAATGCCTCAGTTCTAGCCGTGAGGGTGGCCGGGTGTCAGCGGCCTGTCAACGGTTGTCGCGGTCATCGACTGACAAAAAGTAGCCGGAGGAAGGTGCACTGGAGCGGCCGCCACACTTTCTATCGCCGCAGAAGTAGAATCGGGGGTCGGTTAGATCAGGAATACTTAGAGTTGTATCAGGAGCTAGTACGTACTAGTTTCCAAGAGGGCAATCCTCGGAAGCAGTAGTAAAGCGGTCCACTCAGCCGGACACTAATGGTCATTGTCGTCCCCTTTTCAACAAAATTCACAATGTACTGATTGCACTTCACTGTGCGACCGCTCGCGGGGATTCCGCCACAGCGCAGGGACACTCGTCTCCTCTTGTAACAAGGTCACATCGACTCTCCTAACGGCCACTCATGCATGCTTTCTGGACCAAACAGGGGTCAGACTGGCTCGCACGGCGCGTTTATCGGGCTGCGCTGAGTCTGCGCAAGGCCTCAACCACTAGGTGGGGCAAGCCTTGGATGCAGGCTTTAAAGTTACGCCAGCCACCATACCCAATCCCAACGCACGCTGGCTGACAGGCTCGAACAGTCGACTGGCGCAGATGAGAGGGAAGAGGGGAATCCGATTCCACAGGAAATCAGTGCATTCTTTGCTACAAGAGACCAGACGCGCTTCATTCTATCACGATGCGCTAAGAGTCGTGGCATGACAAACCGCCAACTGACGGGAGTACTTAGTCCTTCTCAGGACTTAATATCAGGCCCCTTTTGAAAGTGGTCACCATGGCAGCTCCACTCAGATGGGGTCCGAGCCGCCCTTCACTTTGCGAAGATCTGGTGCACAGTTGCCGGGGGGCAGGTCGTGCGTACCACACGTAGATGTGTGGAGAGAGCGACAGATTCCGCGAAAGTTGTGGGACCTGGGGTGGATGTTTTCGCTTACGATGGCCACAAGGAGGACAAGGTATACTCTCTGGAGTCCCGTCTACTGCTCAGTGATATTGTTTGAGTAAAATCCTACAGTAGGTGGGCTAACTCATGAAATGTCAACCGAGAGGGAGAAATGCTTTTCCGTTTCGAAATTATTAAATAAGTAGGGTTGTAAAACTAACCAGCATGCAGTATAATTTTGTAATAATTCAGTTACCTCACGATGTCGGCTTTCGAACGAACTTCTTCACGGCTGCCTGCCTAAACTATACTCTGTAAAAGTGGCTACTTATGCAGCATGCAATTTTCTCGTTGATTTTCGATGTCCCTAGAGATTCACTTGTATTTCATAGAAGACAAGCATAAAAATATTCATGCTCTTGCTCATTCGATAGAAAATAACGTCTTCTTCCAATTTTATACTCGAAGGAGGGGCATAATTCGGTTTTCAAAAACATTTCCAATTCCTGCATCATTCTGAACCCGACCTGCCGTTACACTTGCATTCAGCATTTCCAAACTACAGGCCGTATATTTTTCGCGTACGGAAAACTATGCCTTTTTCTACGGTATTAAGAGGGGATTATAAGGGGTTCATGAAATTTAGCAGTGGATTTGAGCCATATTGTTAACTTTACAAGCCACATTTGTAAATGCAGAGGCACAGTGTTTTATCAACGGCCATTTCACGGTATTAAAAAATCTCAAAATTATAAACTTTTTAAAAAAAACCGAATGATACCCTTTTTCGAGCATAAAATTAGAAGAAGACGTAATTTTCTACCGAATGAACAAGAGAATGAATAGTTTTAATGCATGCTTTCCATGAAATATAATTAAATGATTAAGGGTATCGAAAATCAGTGCAAAAAATGCCTGCTAATTAAGTAGGCATTTTTTACAGAGTATGGTTTTTGCATGCAGCCGAAAAGAAGTTTTTTCGAGAGCCGGTATCCTGGGGTAAAGGAATTATTATAGAAGTATGCTGCAGGATGATCAGTTTTACAATCCTACTTAATTAATCTTTTCGAAACGGAAACGCACTTCGGAATTTCGATTGACATTTCATGAGTTAACCCACCTACTGTATATCTCTGATCTGGAGTTCGGGTACGACCGTCTGACGAGGGCAGTTAAGCCAGAAGGAGCCGCTGACGTGCGCGTCTACTCCCCCCTTGTATGGCTGTCCTTTGAGAGGCGGACGAATGCACTTTCAACCGGTTGTAAATTGGGGCCCTCACTGGACAAGCGTCGAATTACAGCGGCGCGGGACAGTGGATCAGCAAATATACAATGCCTCGATGCGATGATCAGTGAATACAGCACGAAGTCAGATCAGGTTAGCCGGGGGGGGGTGGGGTGGGGTAGAGACATTAGGAGCGACAAAAGTGGGCTTCTTGTTGGAAAGCCTATTAACTGAGAGACTCGACGAGATAATCTGGACCGATGCGTAGAGGAAGGCACCGCCGTCGGTCTTAGTGGATACGCCTTCACAGTTGTGTATCAATCCACTAGAAACTCAATTTAATTTGTTGCCTCGTTAGTTGAGTCAGCAGGGTTTTTCGAAATTACACGACAGTGGCCTGCATCTGTCTGACGTAATTGCGCGATGGATGGTAAGTACTCCGCTTTGTCATGGGCTTAACCAAGACCCCTCATGTTCAGCTATATGTAGAAACTTTCAGCTATATGTAGAAACTTTCGTTCGCCCTACACAGTTGCCTGAAAAGGTTCCAAAGCGGAGCCCCTAGGGGGAACGCCTAACGCGCACTCCGCTCAGCGAGTTGGCTAGATAGGGAAATACCATGCCTACTGACTTTGAGTCTTCGTGATCGCAGACGACAGGATGTGTGAAGAAGGCGACACGACCACTGGGACAAGAGATTTATTCGCCTGACGTTTCGGACTCCTGTTCGAACCCATTATCAGAGACAAAAGCAGATACGAGTGACGAGCGCTTCCGTATGTTAGTAACGTTTCGGAAGCTGTTGGCCGCATTCTCGCACCACTTGGGGTTGGAATTGCACACAGACCGGAGGCAACCATCAGGTAATGAAACAAAAAGACCCGTTGCCACAGCAAGAAACGTCTGGAGTCGTTTACCGGATGTGGTGCAGTTGCTGACAAAGCAAGTATGTCGAAAAAACCGGAAGACAACTCTGAACGCGAAAGATCGAACACGCTGCAGCAGTGCGGAGAAATT